AAAAGGGTGTGGGTGTGGGTGTGGGTGTGGGTGTAGGTGTGGGTGTGGGTGTAGGTGTGGGTGTGGGTGTGGGTGTGGGTGTGGGTGGGTGTGGGTGTGTGTGTGGGTGTGGGTGTGAGTGTGGGTGTGGGTGTGAGTGTGGGGTGTACTACATGTGAAGACAATACACCAACACCCACACCCACACACTCACAGCCACAGCTACAGCCACACACCCACATCCACACTCACATCCACAGCCAGACCCACATCCACACCCACACCCACCCACACCCACATCCCACACCCACACACTCACAGCCACAGCCACAGCTACAGCCACACACCCACACCCACACACTCACAGCCACAGCTACAGCCATACACCCACATCCACACTCACATCCACACCCACACCCACATTCGTAGTTGTCCTACATTTCCTCTATGTCTTATACATTTAAATCTACTTTATTTTGTCCTATATGCAAGACGTAAATCTTGGTTTTCTATATTATACTAATAAGTGCTGTTTATTACTAAACATAAATAGCAGGACTCACAACTCAAATATATCACAAGATAGAACTAATTTTAAAAATATAGGACAACTACGAAGTCTGATGGTAACCTATGCGGAACACAAAATTTACGTTAAATTAAATCTTTCATTTTTTACCTGACGATCAATTCAATTGTCATGGGTAAAAGAAAAGAAAAAAAAAAATTGTCGATGCAAATTGACGGAGAGTACACGTTAAGATGGAAAGAAAAATCCAACAAACGCAGCCAATTACAGTGAATTTTAATGACGGTTTTCCCAGTGAGGAAAAAATGAATACTTTGTTGTGCTTGCTGCGCAAACATGTCTTACAGTAAGAGGAAGAAATAACAGCAAAACAAATACGTCATTTCGTCAGAGAGTAAATAGCTGTCGATGCAATGCGAGTAAAATTGCAGTTGACGGTCTGTCACTGGAAAATCAATAGAGATGAACACCAGATGAACAAAAATGAAGGGAAAACCAGACGTGTTTGAAGTCTGTCTGATGAGTTTGTTTTTCAAGCTGTTCCTGCCTTTCTCTTTGCTTTTTGACTTGTAGTTTCTTCTTGTAAATAAGCCAAATATTGAGACGACATTTCAGTCTCTCACTTTTTATCAAATATCAATAGATGTCTCTCATTCTGCCACTATGACATAAACGAGTATTCTATTCCTCTTCGCTCAACTCCATTACACATCACCTTCTTCGTCATTCTCTCTCTCTATTGCTTCAGAAGTTTTCGGTTTTTTTTCTGCATTTCTGTTCCTATTTCGTTGCAAAAAAAACGTAAATATTAAACAGTGAAACTGCTGGAAGAATGAAAAAAAGAAGCGTGACAGAAGGTATTAAAAGCGAAAAAGAAAGTCGAACAAGTGGATGCTGAATACCATCCAAAGAAAAGGTTTGTGTGCAGATGTCTATTCGAGAATATTCTGTACGCATTTAAAATGAAGTTTTTTGCTTTATCAAAAAACTTCGCACATGCGAAAAGAAAATGCTTTTTGCAGTGCATTTTTTCATCGACATCAACGATTTCCATCGTTTTTAATTATTTTTTGGTAACATCAGTGAGATCAGGAAGAACATCTTTGAAGATCCGTTAGTAGTAATTACAGACGAAACAAGCGTGAAATAGGATTCTTTATTGTTGAGTCCTATAAGAGACGAGCAATGCACCAATCCTTTCATCATCTAAACTGGGTATTTTTCATGTGATTCATTTTTCTTACTGTTCTGTTCGTTTTTCTTCATTGCTTCACCCTATATTTGTGCGTGCTTTTTCTGTCTGATTCCAATCGATTTTGTCTTCATTGTAGAAAACATCCAAGTTTGCTGTTTCGTCTACATAGTCAAATACACTTTCGAATAGGTACACAAGTTATATGGCATCAAGCACCGAAACTAGTCGTTGGCGAGTTAAAGTGACGTGTCTGCCTGCGTCCATTAACAAAGACGAATTAGCTCAATTATTGCAACTTGAACCCAAACGAATCATTATTCCGAAAACGCAAAAACAAACCACTCATTATGCTTGGGTGTATGGTTTCCATAGCAAAGAAGATGCCGAGGAATTTGTCAATCGAAATTCAACATTAACTATCTCCAATTCGAACATCAAATTTACTGCAACTGAGGTAACAGAGGATCATACGGACCGTCAGCATAAATCACTAAAATTTCCCACTACTATTCCGTCATTAATGGACAGTGAAGTAACTTATGTTGCTTCCAACCAGACGACGGGAAACAAAACATTGCAGTGTCTGAATCAAAACACACAACGATTCTCTCAAGAAGAGCGAAGACCACCTCCAGGTAAGCTTTTGTCTATAGTATAGAAAATACATAAATGCAAACTGAGCACTTTGCATATAATCAAAACCTCGTTCCAAATACTCTCTTCTAATATAAAATTAGGAAGATTTGAATGTCCTATCGCCATGAGTGCACCCGGAAGTTAACCGAATCCATGGATGCTCAATTTTGTTTCTTTCTAATGTCTTCTTTTGTAGGACTACGTGTTCCAGATAAAAAACCGACTCGGAACGAAGAATACCAACGTACACCGTGTCCTTTTGCGAATAAAGGCATATGTCGTTACAAAGACGGTGAATGTAAATATCGTCATACGAAGTGCCAAAATTATTTGACCTGCTCACGATCTGATTGTCTTCTCGCACATGCGACCGAACGATGCAGATTCGTATCTGGATTAACATCTGCACGATGTATGAATGATATTCGATGTTACAAAGCAGAGTGTCCATTTGATCATCCTGAAGGATGGACGGCTTGTGTCGACGGAGTTCAATGTACGAGTTATGAATGTACTGCTAATCATCCGCCGGGTCGCATGGACAAATGTCCTCATGGAGATCGATGTATTACTAAGAATAACTGCAAGTTTCTGCATCCAAACAATCCTTCATACGAGCATTTGGGTCCGGCTCCGGATGTCAGACTTTCGACACCGCTGCTTAAAACAAAAGCGCCTCGTGACTCACCAAAGAAACATGTCACAGAGATAGTTGAACTGACTGGTGCTGAGCAGAATTTTCTTCAATTTTTCGGTGATAAAACATTAGACCGAATGCGCCATGAACCAGGTATTGACGAGGTCACACTGAAAGATAATAAACTTCAACTGACAGGTGATCGATCCTCAATGACGAATATCAAATCTTATCTAGAACAGACACTTCATAAGCAACACGTAGTTATCACTCATATACTGAAAACTTATTTGGAAAGAGCATGTAAACGACGATTATTAACGAAATTCCTAAAACAATATCGAGTAGGAATTTCCTATGGTGACTATGACAAAGAAGCGCAAAACAAAAATGATCAAACTGTGAAACAATCTGCCAGCGATGATGAAGAGCAAACTGATGATGACGATGATGATCACAAGAGCGATATTTCCAGTGCATCATCGTATGCCACAAACCTATCAACCGTTTCGAAACAAGCTCGTCAATGTGGTCAACAGATGACTCAAGTTACGTTATGTAGTGATTCCGAAGATTCATTAGCGAAAGCTGGAAAAGAATTACAGAGTTACTCGTTACATATTGAATCATGGCCGCTAAAAGGAGAGGAAGTTGCATTTATTTTAAAACAACCCGCGAATGGAAAACTGAGACAAGGAAAAAGAAATCCAGCTTTTCAAAAATCTTGTCAAATCAAAACTTGTCTCGATAATATCGTTCAATCAAAATCGAATTTGCCGGTACAGATCTTTGTGCCTTATAAAACTGGGGTGTGGCGTGTAAAAGTAAGAGGATTCAAGACTTATGTAGATGCTGGAGTAGTGAAAATCAAAAACTGGCTGAATGATAATGTTAAGACTGATGTACAATTGCCGATTTCAACGGTAATGTGTATTTATCTTCGAACAAAAGCTTCATCGGACATTAAAAAACTCGAAAAAATCTATGCTGTCAAGATAACGACCTCGTCGTCAGCCGCTCACAAACATGCTGACGACGAACAAGATGATAATCATGAATATTTAAAACTGACTGGTTCGGAATTACAGATCAAATCGGCTCAAACACATGTCGAAAACTTTCTCGAAAGCTTATCCGAAAAAGAAAAACATTTTCCACGCGCCAGTTGGGATATTGCCAAGAACATTTTGCCAATTCTTCGCAAACGTCTGAAAGATATGCAAGACTCCGATGATTGTGAAGCAATCGGATGGTTGAAGAGGTATACAGCAAGTGACAGAAGAGATCTAACACCGAGAATTACGGTGTCGATAGTGGGTCTGAACGCAGAAGCAGTTGACGACGTCATTGAACAATGTCAAGATATTGTAGAAGGATATGTAGTTTGGAAACCATCTGCCGACGAGTATCGTGCTATCAATCAGGCGTTGTTCGTGAAAAACTCGCCATCACTGAATGAATTTCGACAACAATGGAATACGGAGATTTTTCTTGATCGAGACAAAGGTACGATTATTATTCCGGCACAATCAAAAATGATTGCAGACGATATTAAAGAAGCTCTACTAAGTTTACGTGGTGAAAAGAAACCGCGAGTGGAACGTATTATCGAATTCATTCCTATCGAACTCAAAATTCGTCGTTTTGTTAACCAAGTGATTGGTTCGGTACTTAACGAAGCAAAATCTCATCGCATTTCTGTTGAATCTCGAAATCGTCATGGATTGAAACTGCATGGGCGGTCGGATATTGTCACGGAACTCAAACAAAAGATCATCGTGATTGTCAATGATATTCAACAAACAATCGTTACACAGCGTTTACAATTATCATCGACTGAGGCAGATCTGTTGCGAGCCGATAGATATGCGTTAGCAGAACGTATTGAACGTGAAACGAATACGATTATTCGTGATGCTAAAGTCGATTCGACTGGTTTGCCGTCAACAGTCACCAGTGACGAACATAGTTCGACGATAATTACTGCCCTAAACAGTCGTGGTCAAATCATTGTCGTAGCCAAAGGTGATATTACGAAGGTCAGAAACGTCGATGCTATTGTCAATGCAGCCAATGGGCCATTATATCATGCGGGCGGTATCGATAAAGCCATTGCTGATGCGGCTGGCCCACCATTGGATCAAGAATGTAAACAACTGATTGCTAGTAATGGTGGGTTACCTCTTGCGGCAGGAAAAGCCGTCAAAACAACCGCTGGTAATCTTCCCTTCAAATGTGTCATTCATGCTATTGGTCCTCAATATACAGATGGTAGCCAGCAAGAACGGCCCTTGTTATTCTCAAGTGTTCTGACGAGTTTACAACTTGCTGACGCTGAAGGTTGTCGAAATGTTGCTTTACCAGCTATTAGTTCTCGAACTTACGGATTCCCGATGATGGATTGCACAAATATTGTCGTTCGTGCTGTCAAACAGTTCTTTGCTGATCATCCTCAATCCAAGGTCAGAAAGATCGTGCTACTAGACATGGACGATGCAGCTTGTAATTCATTTGCACGAGAAGTGGAAGTCGATCATAGCAGTTCAGTAGCAGACAACGATGATGAGCTGACTGAATATCAGCTGCCGCCGCTCACGGCGCAATGGTGTTGGCAAGATGACTACGATGAGAAAGTCAATACTGATCATGATATACGTCAGATCGAAAATGCATTTCAACAATATTTACGAACTTTTACACCATCAGAATTGCTAATCGGGGCAGATAATCTACGAAGTGGTACTATTGTTAATTATAAGATTCGTTTTCTTCCTAATCTGAAGCAATCACTAACAAGTAATCCCAATGCACTTCATAGCCGACTCGTATGTGGACATCAAACGAATGTCGCGACTGGTTATACAAGACACATTATTCGTTATCCAGTAACAGCAGTCCAGCAAGCAAGTCAACCAAAACCTGTACAGTATCATCCGAAACCGTTGGATTCATACGAAATAAAATCAGTCGTCGCAGAAGAATATTGGAATATTACCGGTATGAAGAAAGTCACAGTAGAACAAGCACAACGAGCAATCAAAGCAGCAATACAGTCTGCCACGATTGTCGACCCCTTCTCCGTTAATCTCCACAAAGATTTCGATGTTCATAAAAAGGAACTGATCAAAATTGGCACACAACAATCCATTCAAATTACTTTTCAAGAGACTACTCTCGGTCAACAATTATCGATGATATTAACCGGTTTCAAACCAAACGTGTCCGAAGCAAAATTACAAATTGCTTTATATGCGCAAGATATTTTAAAAACACAGGTAGAAAAGGACGATGAATTGTGCATACCGAAGGAATGGGACGATCAACAAGATGGATGCAAGTTAGTGGAAATTCCTCGAAATGATCCGACGTTTGTTCGAATTGAAAAACGTATGAAAGAAACGATGAGTACGGTAAAAATCGAGAAAATCGAACGCGTACAAAACGTTCGAATGTGGAGTCACTATGCGTTTCGTCGTCGAGAGTTGAAAAAAGAATTACGTTCGAAACCGAATTTACAAATTGAAATGGAATTATTTCATGGCACAAGAAGTACACTACCGAGTGAAATTTACAATGGAGAATATGGATTCGATATGACGTTTAGTACCAGTGGTATGTGGGGTATCGGGGCATATTTTGCTCAGAATGCTTCGTATTCTTGTGGTGGCTATGAATATAAATTACCCAATGGGAAAGCGCAAGCGTTTCTCGCCCAAGTTTTGACAGGTGACGTCTACGATTGCAATCCTGATTCAAGTTTGCGTCGACCTCCGAAGAAAGATGCGAACGTGTCGAATCTACGTTACAACAGTGTATCAGGCAACACGGGAGGCAGTAAAGTTTATATTGTCTACGAAAATCGTGTCGCTTATCCTACTTATTTGATTACGTTCACAAAATAGCTTAGTGCACCTTTTTTTGTCTGTATGCGGTGACTTGTAATGACTGCGCTGCATTTATTCATACAATAAATATAAGATATTACCTGAAAAAAAACACACAGGAACCTTTCATCTACACACACACAGAAGATGTGAAAATTGATTGCCTACATACCTAGCACTACGGATTTTCTTTGAAACTTTGAGGAAAGGTATATAGAGAAAAAGATAGAGATTTCAATGCAAGAAATACAAAATAAACTAGATGGCGTCTAAGCTTCACCTATATGAGAAAATACGGTGTATTCTAAATGATCATATAACGCCATGGGCGGCGCAAGGTCAATTTTTCAGGGGACGCAATAAACTTTAGAATGAGACTATACCACCCCCGCCTCCGTGTCACAATGTACAGTTCGCCACTAAAAGCTTTTTTTTCTTGAATTTAACTTCTGATGATGAAAGATATGGTATTGGAGACCTGCTTATTAATATATCTGACAGCATATGAAGAGTTTGAAGGCACTGTAACGCTTTTTACTGAGAACAGGTTTATTCAAAACGAGTTAGCAAAACTCAAGGTTTTTTTGTTATTAACTTTCGCTCACTGATAATTGGGTTTTCGACTTGTTGCCCATGTAAAAGATTGTCTAATGAATTCATTAAACACATTGTTGTTCTAAATGGATCAGACTAATTTAATCAATGTATTATGTTGATATATCTTTCCTTGTACATAAATTTTTTTTATTATGCCTGATGATGATACAAGTTGTATCGAAAGCTCGTAAATAAAATGAAAAATTTCATCTACATCTTTACTTAATATATATTTTAAAAAGTAAATTATAAATATTGTTAAAAAGAAAACAAAAAAAATCAATGAAAGCTGAATAGCAAGCCCATTATTGTTGGAAACAAGCAGCAGAAAAGATTAGTTATTTCTACCAATCATATGTTGGTTAAT